AAATGCTGTGATCTTTTATTTTTTTGGTGAAACGTCTCTGCATATAGATGACTCTGCTAGTGCTTAGTCACAAAGGAGTCTGTTATTAGACCTTGTGACCTTACCTGATTTCACTTTTCCTTGAATTGGTGGGGAAAATGTTTTTTTTAAATAATGCTATGAATATCAATGTTGTTATTTTTGTTATTGGCATTATAATTATTATGATGTTTTAAACATTAGTAACAGAAAAATAAGATGACAAAATATTTTTGTAAATCAAGGAAAAGGGTAAAGAGGTGAGACAGGCAGTACTCGTAATTGGACCATTGGTGTACTAATAGTACAAGTGTAGCCATCTATGTGTAATAACAATTAATAAAGTAAAGTACATACATGCCATGCTTGGTGGCATTGGGTTAGTACATTCTTCATTTAGGATTGGGAATGCAGCTTTAAAAATGTTCCAATACATCAGAGAATATAAAAAAAAAAAACATTTTTAGGGTGAAGTGAAGATGGCAACTCACTTGGAATTTGCATAGATCTGGCAACATAAAATCCCTGTTTAAAGATGGCCAAAAAGAATAGTTGGGATGGTATGTGGGGTTAAATGATTTAGACATACTCAGTTACATGATAACTTTATCAAAATATATGCATTTTAATGATCAAAGTATAGGAGGCATTTCATCAGTTCAGGGCTGCCAGCACTGACCATTCTTAATCATCAGCATGTGACACAAGAAATTTTGTTTAAGCATATAAGAAGGTGATCCCTGGAGTACACCAAGAACACAAATATGAAATGTCACAAATCATGGTTAAGCATATAACCATTAGTTTCAATATTGTTTGATCTCTGATGAAGAAAATAGATGCATATTTGGACAGAAAGAGTGGGACTCTTCAAACCCAGATTTTGTTTGTAAATTTCCTGAGATGATGTGAGTAGATGTACATAGAGATATTTTTAGTGCTCAACTTTTTTTTTATCTCTTATTTGTACCTGTTTCCTACTATACTTTATTTTAATGAAAACTTTTATGTAAATATTTGAAGCTTCCTATTGTCAATAGTACTTCTAGTGATTTTCAGGTAATGTAAATTTATCAATGAAAGAATTAATTATACAATTATACTTTCAGCATCCAAAAACTGGTGAACGGGGCAGCATCCTTGACACGCCAGACAGTGTTGATGTAGATGCCCTTACTCGCAACACAGCTGTGATTGCAACTTCTCTTCTTCAACACATTTATAACACATCAGTTGATGAAATATTTTCAGAGGGTTTGGTAAGTAAATTTCTAGTACCATCTTATTTTTGTTGAAAATAGGATATAAATTGATTTCAAGATAATAATTAGTTAGAAATGATAACAGATTTTAGTTACGATTCTTAGTTGAGGCATTGGGTTTATAGATTACCCATAGGCCACACTTATTGCCAGTTGATAATCAGACAGAGTGCCATGAGTGCACATACTGTCAATAAAATAGCTACTCTTTGATATAGGCAGAAGCTGTAATTAATCAATTCATCATATTAACAGGATGTTACAAGAGAGAGTGTGCAGTCTTGGTTAGACTTGATGAGCTCCCAGCCAAGATCTCCACAGCTACTTTCAGGGAAGAATAACCCACTAGTGTCTACTCTTCACCAAGTACTGTCCAGGTAACTACATAATTACTCCTTTAAAGCTGAGGATTGTTAATAGTGTTTATGTATTTTGTATTCTACTATCTAAAGTGGAAATGGCAATTATGATATATGTTTCAGCATCAGGTTTACTTTTTGGGGATGTTGATTCTGCTATCTTATCATAGGCCATAAGATTGTATAAGTATTGCAGAGGGTGCTTATACTTAAAAACATATTAAATAGACTAAGTTTTTGGCATGGTTTTTGATATTTGAAACACTTTTTCTAAATATTTAACAATGCATTTCTGAATGAATTTCACAGATATACCAATGAAGCTCGTGTAACCTATGTAAAGGCAGACAAGAGGGACCCCGAGTGGGCTTTCTACGATGTAACCAAAACCACCATGGCTGCCTACGCTGTCAAACCTGCTGCCTTTGATTTCCTCCTTACCTTGGCCATTCTAAGTTATTTAGGAGTGATTTATGTGTTCCTACAGGTGAGGGACATTCATGTTTATGATTGAGATTGTATTGTTAATTTTATTCTGATACAAGATGAATGATAGGAAAGTTTACCAATATATCATTATTTTCTTACATATGTTTTTTTGTTTTTTTTTTTCAGTACTTCCCGAAGATCTATGTCATGATGGCAAGAATCACCTCTCCACGCAAATCTAAGGTTCATTAATAAGATTTTGTTGTAAAATATGTTGTTAGTGTCATTATGCATTGACTTAAATGCAATACAATGGACTGTATGTATGTATATCTTATGTTTATCTGTGTTTGATATTTCTACAAAATTTGTGTGAAGTTTGAGAGAGATCTTCTCCCTCAATTTATACATGAAAATTTCTGAAGTTTTTGT